GTCTCCTCCCTGCTCACTGCTCCCTCCTGCTTTTCTTTTCCAGGTTGTCTCCTGCCTATTCCCTTTCCTGTACAAAAGGGTCTTCTTTTAGTTCAATGTCATTCCACATCAAGTCGCAATTTCCACCATAAATGAGAACTAATTTTTGTACGTGACATTTGAATTCCCTTCACCATCTTGGCATTTGTATTGAGACTTAACCTTAGCTGTAGCTAATATCCCTGGACAAGTGGGGGCACCCAGAGTTTCATCAGACTCCCCTTGGACACACACGGATCAACAACTCTTGCATTCGCTGTGTAAGGTCACAGTGACCAAAACAAACACGATATTTTTTCTCAGTTTTGACATAAAAAGACACATATATCTTTTCTTCAGCAAATGTCACTGTGGTTTTAGAGCCTAAGTGTGATGTGTGAGAGGGCTGCATTTTAAGAGTATTTCCTGCTCAAACATAGGGTAAAAATTATGCAAGTCAGTGAGTCCTGAAAACAGCTGCATGAAATTCTTAACACCTGCACAAAAAAAAAAAGTCTTGAAAATAATTTTTCATTGTTTTTAACTTTAGGATTGGTTGATTTTCTGTTATTTCACACTCTGAAGGACCTTTCAATTCATAAAACCTTCAGCTAGAAAGAAAATTGGCGAGCTTTTAAAGAATCTTGCAAATCTAAGGGAGCAACTTCACTGCATTAATGCACTTAAAACAACTTCTCTGGAATCAGCCTGGGGACTGTTTCTTAAAACAACAGCAGTCCCAGCCTCTAGCCCTCTAGCGAGCCCTAGAATCACCCCCTTGGCTTCTTGGTAGAGTTTTCGGTTTTCGCGGAGAGTGGTGGACATCCCAACCAGGAGGCGGGGCTGGGGCTGGCGCAGAGGATCTGGTATTGTATGCGGGAAACACAGCAGCACCCAGCTCTGTCGACCTGTTGCATCCTCCCCAGCTTTTTAAGTTAAAGAGCTGCATTTCCTGAAATTGTTGAGCTGGATGTAAGTGCATACGTTACCCCACCCCCTCCCCCAGCGGGGGTGGGTGGGTGGGGGAGTTGCCGCTGGGGAGGAAGGTTGGGATGGGGTGAGCTGTGGGGGGGCACCGGAGAGAAACTAAAGTGATGAGCATAGGACAGGAAAAGTGTGTGTGGGGGGGGGGGGGTGCGGAGGGAGGAGGAGGCCGTAAGATGCCAGAGGAGGGAAACGAGTCACCAGCCGGGCTCCGGGAGCTGCGCGCCCCGCGGAGTTTGTTGACTCGCGCTGGAGAGGAATCGAGTCTCCCCAGACCCTGCCGAGGGCTGAGCTGGAGACCAGGGCGGAGGGAGAGCTGCGCCGAGGTCGCCCATTTTTCTGCGGTGAGAAAACTTTCGCGGGAAGGCTGGAAACTTTTCCCAGGCGCTCGAAGTCTGGGGCGGAGGCGAGCTGCGGGTGTGCGCGCCTCGGGGTGACTCACCCCCGGGACCCCGGGGGTGTGAGTGGGGAAGTTCCCCGCCGGGGCTGGACCCCAGTGGCCGGGGTTGCGGAGCAAGTGAGCAGGCGGGCAGGGCACAGCCCAGAAGAGGGGTCGGGGAGGGCTGGGGTAGGGGCTTAGGGAAAGCGTCCCATTTGGGGGCGTCTGGGTGGGGCGCCCCACGTGCTAGAGAATCCTCTGATCGGGCTGCAGGCGGGCGTGGAGGACTGGACCGGCGACCACCATGCTGGGGGCTGGGGCGGCAGGGCCAAGTCGAGCCCCCTGTCCACCTCCGGGGGGTGAGTGACCCCCGTGGCTGCGCAGGGTCGGAGGGGGCTGCTGCCGATCGATCGCGGGACCCAGGCTGAGCTAGGCGAGCGAAAAAGAAAGTTTGCTTGTTTGTCTCGTTCGCGCTCGACCCCAGGCAAATCTAAAGGGCTGCCTCTCTCAGGCGCGGGCGACTGGACGCCCCCAAAAGCCTGTCTTTTCCAGCCCTGCGGGCCTTTCCGGAGGGCAGCGTGGGAGGGGAGCCGGGGAGGGCGCCCGCTTTGTCCTGCGCGCCCTGGCCGTGCGCGCTCCGCGGGCTGGGCAGGCCGGGCGCTGCCCGCTGGCTACCCGGCTAGGCCCTGCGGCCCCGGCGCCAGCTGCATCCCCTTCATGCCCATCTTTCCCACCACCCCTGGTTTGGGGAGACTTTCCCCTGGGAGCCTACTGTGCACGCCTAGTCCTGGCCCAGGGGCCCGGACCCTCCCTTCCCAGTTATTTGCTTCTATTCTTAGGGGTGGCTGCGGGTTTGGGGAGGGCTGGGGGTGAGGTGTGGGAGGCTGTGTACTTGCAATCTGTGCTTCAGGAATCGACTGAGGGGTGTCTCCCATGTTGGAAACAGGGTTTCCCCCCCAGTTCTGCCCAGCCCCTGCGCACAGTCACATGCAGCTGCCTCTTCCCCCGCCGTGCCAGGAGCCCGCGTTTTGTTTGTCAGCAGCAAGGCGGTGAATATTTATAGACACCGCTGCAGTCCTGCGGTGTGCAAGGTTTCAATTACTGCGATATGCCTCGCAAGACCCGAGGCTCACGTGTGGCCACTCCATAGCATGTTCAAAGACCCGCATGGAAAAAACTCTGGGCTGGAGTCTCAGGGCATCCTTGCTTGGGCGGAGCTCTGGACCTGTTGCCCCCAGGACACGTGCACATCCAATGACCCATACAAAGGACTGAAGCAGTCAGGATGCCAATGGCCAGATTGCCTCCGTTCTTTGGTGTCCCTCCCCCACCAAAGGGCGCTGGAGGGTCAAGCCTAAGACCGCCCTTTTTCACCTTCTCGGGGACCCTGACCACTGTGGTTGCAGCCTTCACATTTTGTTGCTCTGTATTGTGCAAAATGTCATAGTGTTGTGCTCTGGTAAGTCACTCTCAGGATGAAAGGCGTGTTACTGGCAAGGGGAGGTAGTAAGTGGGTGAGGAGGGGAAATAGAGCTTGCAGAAATGAATTTAGCCACATTTTAAATTTAGCTCCTGCTTAGGTTCCTAATGCAACTGTGAAAGGTGCAATGCCCCACTCTGGTGTGTGCTCCACTCTGTGTAACCTGTGGCTTGGTAGACTCTGGCTTGCAGTGGGGAGCCTAGAATTCCACCCAGGATGCTGCTGTGCAGAGAGATTTCTGTAGAATATAGCAGATAAAGGAAGGATGATTCGTCAATGCAGAGTTGCCCTGAGTCTTTCTAATTCCAAACATTGTCCCTTCATTATTTTTGTTTCTGATGGTTTTAATAGCCAGAACCATTCATAGTGTAAAAAAGGAAAGGCATTAGGAATCAGCTAGTCTAACTGGCTCTTTTCTCAAAGAGTTCGTTTAGACTAAATTGTTCAAAATGACAACTATTTCTTTGCCACCCAGAGGATAACGAGATGCATATTTATTTTAGTGGATAAGTTTTGAATCATGTTCTGTGTTTGAATGTTACAAAAATGATCCTTTATTTAAAATAAGGGCAGGGGTGGGAGGCAAAACCTCTTCAGACCTTATGTCTTTCAGTTTACAGTAAGAGATTTTGATATCATTGTATGATAACATTGTATAATCTGCACCAAATTGATGATGAAACACGCACTGTTAAATTCCAAGTATAGTCGGGGGTTTATAGACGGAGGCTTAAAGAACACAAGTTATGGGCCTCCCCGGTGGCGCAGCGGTTGAGCGCTGGGTTGCGAAGCTGCCCGCGGCCTCTGCGGCGCCGGTTCGATCCCCGGCTGCTTCCCGGCCACCGGCGGAGGATCCCACATGGCGCGCAGACCTCTCCTGCCGCCCGCTGCTCCCCTCAGCAGTGTACTTCGGTCCTTCTGCCTGCTCTGCTCCCCGCTCTGGCTCTGGTGAATTCTCTCACCCTCCCGCGCTTCTGACTGTACCCAGTGCATGTATAAACAAAACAAACAAATAAATAAAAAAAAAAAAAAAACTTTAAAAAGAACACAAGTTATTTGTGCAAAGTCACATACAAACACAGAGGGGTAGAGATGAGAATGGATTCCAGATCTATTACTCTGTGTTTGTCCTGCCAGACAAGCTTGTCATTCCTCAGGTGTTCATTAGACCCCATATAGACTAGTGGCTTCCTATTTCTTTTTTTTAATGTCACAAAGGAGCTTGATTATTGAAAAATAGTCCATTCTTTAGAAAATTGTTATATTATCTGAGATTTTCATGCTGGCATTTCAGACCTAAATGGCATACTCTTTAATTTGTTCATGGACCTCATGTGCAACTTTTAAATCATTTTAACACATTAGGGACTCTGGATTTCTCAATTATTTCTCCATGTAAGGATTTATAGGTGTGCACGTGTATATTTTTGTTCCTTTTATCCTGTTCTTGTATAAGGCAAAATATACTGAAATCTTTCTTGAATTACAGTGTTTTTTCCTTTTAATCTTTTTTTCGCTATTTAACTAGTACAGAATTGTTTTGCATGTGAGCCCTTCTGAAAGAGCCCTGCAACATTTAACATTCCTCATTAAAAGTTCCCTAGATTTCCCATCCATATACAAACTATTATACAGATATTTGTTAAAAGCAAAACTTATAGAAAATATTATTTGTTAACAAGTCCATGTGAATTAATATCTTCATTGCTGGAAGTTGGGAATAACATATTTTGTGGATTTGGTATGAGGTATGGGGTTTGGAATTTGAGAACAGAGAGTGGCACCCTTATGAGCAGAAGGTGCTGTTATAAAAGGAAAGGGTCTACTTTGGCACCAAGAAGGGACTTGGGAGTATAGGCAATGCCTGGGGCATCAGAGCTGAGTTAATTCATGATTTGACGGGGGCTAGGGATCCAAGGTTTACTTGGAAACTTGTTCAGTTAAAAGACGTAAGTCAGCCTGTTTATTGGGCAAATCCTGTCAACCAGGCACAGTTATGAAAATATTATTTGAGCCTCCCAACAACCCTGCCACAGAGATAGTCTTTCCTGTATTTTATGATGTGAAAATATAGGCTCAGAGAGGTTTGTTATTTTGCTCATGTCACACAGCATCAGCTTAAGCTCTTTTTCTTTTCAGTACATTTTGATATCACCCTTGGAGGCCTTCCCTGAAGAACCCAGAAGGTCCTAGTGGTTCACCTAGAAGTTTCTGGATCAGAAGTCATTACTAGAACATCATGAGAGTTCTGAGTGAAGCAACAGGAGGTAGGTGGACAATGGAGGCTCAAGGCATAGTCTGGATAATTCTGACAGTAGTCATTCCATCAAAAAAGGAGATGCTGTAAATATGTAGTAACTATAGAACATATTCACAGGACATAGAGAGTTGTTAGCATTGGTCTGGCAGGGGTAGTTTTCACAGTGCAGAGCAAGATCTGGTGATTGGCATGTCAGAGGAGGTGCCCAGGAGAGGAAAGGGGTGAGCAAGCACCTCACCTTCTTAGGAATGTGTCTGTTGTGAACATGCCTGGTTTGACTCGCTGGGTTATAGTTGACATAAACTGGGGAACCCATGAGAACTGATTCCATTTTAAGTGGATTTAACTCTTTAAGGTAACAATCACCAGTCTCTCCTTAAATATTCTTTTCTTATACTTTACCAATTTATGGCCTTTGTCGATCAATCCTTGGATTTCACTTAGAGAGTGGGAAAAAAAAAAAAGTAAAGGTTAGTGATTACCTAAATTGGATTAAGTTCTGTCTAGCAAAGTTTAAAGAAATACCGCTTGCTCTCTAATTACCATCAACTAGGAATTTAAACGGTCTATTAAATTTAAGCTGACTTTCTTTTTTTTTTTTAACCTCCTGACAATTCCAACTCTTAACTAATCCTGAGGTTTTTGGAGGCTGGCTTTTCTATATTCTTCAAATGTGAAGAAGATATTCTCCCTTACCCCCTCTCTTTTAAAAATATTACATTTCTGCAGCAGGATAATATGATATCATTATGTACTGGCTTCATTAAAAATGAGAAACTGGGCCTCCCTGTTGGTGCAAGGGGTTAAGCACAGCGCAGTGAAGCCATCCGCAGCCTCTGTAGCAGGAGTTCGATACCAGGCCTGCCAGGGAGCTACCCACATGGCACAGCAGACCTCTCCTGTCTCATCCCCTCAGCAGTCAGTCTGCCTGTTCTGTTCCCCACTCTGTCTCTGGTGAATCCTCTTACCCCTCACCCCTCTGGCCTATACCCCAGTTCTTGTATGCATAAATAAATAAATCTTTAAAAAAAAAGAGAAACTGATAGTGAGGTTCAGTCAGACTCTGGAGAGCAAACCAGTTAACTGAGTGATTTGTCAGAAATTTAGGGATACCTGTGGAAGCTTTTTGGATGGGTGCTTATTTTCTTCTGTAGTAAAGGAATGGGCTTAAAGTGAAAATTATCTACCTCTACTTTGTGTTTGATCTTTGAATTACCCTTCTAAACAATATAAGGGTTCTTTATCAAAGTAGATGGTGGGTGTGCCTGGGAGTCCAGACTAGGGTGAGCCAAGTCAGATACCAAGGATGTCCTCCAAAAGTTTAGGGCATGATCCTGAGAGAGAGCACCTCATCCCCACCCTGGTCAGCTTCTAGGTGAACTATGCCTAGAAGCATTCTGGAGAGCAGTTGAAGATCTTTCCAGAAGATCTTTCTCCCTCCTTTGACCACAACCTATGGGAAAACCTGGTTAACACCTATCCTTCCCACCACCCAGACAACAGATCATAATTATTTGTATAGTTTACTCTGTGTGTAATTATGTGTTCTAGAAAAGCAGGTATTTACCTCTCTAGGCTTTCGTTCTTATTCCCTCTCCTCAATTTTGAGGTATACAGAGAATAGTTCCCCCACATACTTTCACTGTTCTGCTTTCACTTTAGCTGGTCACCAAACACCAGCAACACCCCCAGTTTCTTGTTTCTCTTCTTACTTGTCCTAGAACTTTATCCAACTTTGCTGGCCCTTTTTGACCCAGGCGGTGTTTTGTGTTTTGTTGAAGGCATCTGAAACAGCAGTTAGATTTCTAGCAAATACTAGGATTAAGGAAACCACTTCAGGTTCCTGGGGCACTCAGGTGCATCAGCTCAAGCTGAGCCTGGGAGAATACCTTGAGAGGATTTGTTCTGTCTTCTTCCCAAGGACTGGGGGCAAAACCCCAGCAAGTACTGTGATGTGTGTCTGTATTGTTGTGAACTAAGCTGTCTCCAGCCCTGTCACAACCTGCTCCATGACCTCAGCTGTATAAATCCTCGTATCAACCGGCATATTCTTGCCACTTAACTTTAAATACTCCTTTGGAACTGGTTCAGCATCATTCCCCAGGTGTCTTTGGCGGAGACCACATCAGCCGAGGCCACCATTTTGGAGAACTCTGCTACTGCAGGCGGGATGCTCGGCGTTCACACCTGTGGGAGCTGTGTGGCCATTTGTTGTGAAATATCGGGAGACAGAATTAGTGGGTAAACATGGTAATCCTTTGTGGTGTTTGTTCTGAGGTAAATTTATAAAAATTCATAACCCACAGAACAATAGATTCCTTTCAGTCTTCAGAAAAGCCTCTAACACACTCCATAATATCAACTATGCACAGAAGAGAATTGTTGAAAGGGCCCACTCCTTGGTCCTCATTGGCATTTTGGAGACCAGACAGGTCAGAGAGTTGAGGTTTGAAATCTGATCTCGGGTCTGGCAGAGGCTGGCTATTTGATGAAGAGTGTGTTGCTAGATTGCTCTAGGGCTTAGTTTTCCTGTCAATAAAATAAGATTGGCCCACTCCTAAGATTCTTTTCTAAAATTCCCTCATGACCAAGGAAGCATGGTCTCGAATAGTGCTTCTCAAGTGCTTATGAATCACCTGGGTACTCTTCATTAAAACCCCAGGATCTGATTCAGTGGGTCTGGGCTGGGTCTGAATGTCTAATGCATTTCCACATGATCATAATTCTGCTGAATCTCACTTCACAGTTTATAGCTTGGCCCCGGAGCCCAGATCGTATTTCTTAATCTTGGCCCTATTGATATTTTGGGTTAGATAACTTGTGGAGAGAGCTGTGTGTTACTGTAGGATGTTCAATAGAGTACCTGGCCTCCCCACCAACTTCCTGTAGCACCTGTAACCCCTCCCTCTCCGCCCCCTCCGATATGACAACCCAAAATGCCTCCAGATACTGCTGAACACCTCCTGAGGCAAAGGGGAGGCTGCAAAGTCACCCCGGGGAGACATTGGTCTAGACCAGTATTAGCAAGACTAGTAGATCAGAATCACCTGGAAGATGCCTAGAAAATACAAATTTCTGTAGCAAACCTCAGACCTAGTAAATGGGAATCACCAGATAACAGCCCAGAAGTCTCTTTCTTTAATAACCCAGTGATGGAGATGGAACAGGGTGGTCCCCAGGGAAAGGTGCCAGGTTCCTTGCCCCACCCAAGGAAGGCACCTCCCTTTTCCCTGGAGACCACCCTGTTACAGTGATAGCCTAGAGTTTTTTGCTTTGAAATTCTGGATAATGCAAGCCCTCAACTTGAGTCCTGGTGCTATCCTTCCATAGCTGTGGAGCCACAGGCAAGTTGCTTAAATGCTCTGAAGCAGAAAATTCACTTCTAAATTGGGGGTAAAAATGGTGCCTAGTGACCAGGAAAATGAATAACTATAAGAAAGTGAAAATCAAAATCAACAAACAACTATGGACCAGAGACACTCTATGGGGGGTGGGGGGGCGGGGAGGGGAGGGATTGGGGTCAAAATAAGGGGGTTGCAATTGTATGGGGAATATAAAAATAAAATTTATTTTAAAAAAATGGTGCCTAGTTCACAAGGTTGTTGGGGAGATCAAAGGGTATGGCATGGGAATGTGCTTCAGAAACTGTAAAGTTCTGTGCAGGTGTTAGTGGTGAGTGCTATACCACAAGGCTTCAGAGGTTTTATTTTATTGGTTTAATTACTTTATTTATTTTTCCCAGGACTGGATTTATTTTCCCTCAGGCCTGCTTCAGTGACCTTCACACTCTTTGCCCATCATTCCTTCAATCCCACATTTACAAACTTTTCTCCACTTTCCAACACAAGGGTCTCAACCTGGTGGCCTGTGGGCCAAATTTTGGCATCAGATGTGTCTGGTTTGGTTAGGATTGTGTTTTGGTGGGGGGATTGCTTTTCTGGTATTTTAAATTGGGAGATTTGACTTATAAACTCAGATTTCCAGCTTTTCTTTTAAAACTAAAAGGTTGGTCTTCAGTTTGCCACAGTCCCCACTGGGCCTTCTTGCCACATTCCTTTCCCTGCTTTGGCCCCCTGCAGGCATCAAATTTGTCATCCCTGCTTCAGACTTTCCTGTCCTGGCCTTTAATCACTACTAAATTACTATTCTCTCTCTCTCTTTTTCCTGTAATTTTGGTAGGACCATATCCAGCTCGTCTTTGTGTCCAAGGTAGTAGGTACTCACTAGATGTTTATCCCAATGTGATATTTTCATCCTATCCTTGCTGATCACAGACAGAAAAGAATATACATTGAACTTTGAAGGTGCTTACCTATGAGGGCTTATTTTATTTTCCTCAGATTTCCTTTCCAGTCTCCAGTGTCCCTATTCCTTAACATCACAGACAAGAAAACAGAGAATCCATCTTTTTCAATTGACCTTTCATTAACTTTGGTAACTCCAGGAGGCGATTTAACCTTTTTGCCTCAATCTTGTCTCAACTCTCCATGCTCAGTTGCAGCCCTCTGCCTTGGGCTGCGTTTAAAACATGACTTTTGACTGTTTCCTGCAGGTACTTTCTTCTTTGCCTTCTCTGTTCACTCCTGGGCCCCTGGCATATGATCCGTCTTCTAACATTTGATTGTTGAATGGACTTGAGTTGAACCCACTGTGAAATGATCAGATCCCACAGCCCCTTCAAGTCTCTGACCTTGCCATTCAGTGCTCTTTCCACCTGGTTTCCACCTGGTTATCCGGTTATCTTTTCCCTTCATTTCCTTTTCTTATGAAGAAGCATTTCATCCCGCTCCTGCAGTGGAGAGTCCATGTTAATAGCTAGCTCATGTTCAACTAGGGCTCATTTCCCCACACTGAAAACTCCCGTTGGCTGCCAGACAGTAGCTTTTGACCGCTTCGTCACCCACCAGGGTTATTTTTTATATATGTCCAAGGCAGAAATGTAATTGTTCACGTAATGGTCAGTCTCGGCTACCACCGGTGTCTAGACTTTTCTATTTATCATCTAGC